TGCTTGCTCTATTTGATATGTGTCAGGGGGAGGGTTGTTACCATGGTGTTGACACAGATTGACTGGAGGAACTGAGTCCTTTCCTGAAGTCTGGTTTTGGTCTGATGGACTATGGTTGGGAACTAGATGCTGTACTTAGCATCCGAGATGGAATAGTCAGATGCAAAGAACTTTCATCCTTGGCTGTTCCCTCTTTATTTAGAGGAGCTCAAATGTCCTTGCATCGGTTGTAGATAAAAGTTTACATTTGCTTAACTGTTGTCTTAAAAATAGATTAATTGCTTAGCTTTAAAGAGTTCCATCAGCATGAATGACATGGAAGGGAATTTCAGGTTCCTAGGAAAAGAAGTCAAGGAGTTACTTGGAGTAATACAAACTGCCAATCAACAAAATGTGATTAGGCCATCTAGTGTGCTAGGCTGGTGGGAATCCAGCATATTCCTTTTCTCTGAGTCAGGGACTCTTGGATTATAGAAACTGGCTACAGTCTCCAAAGGCGACAAGCACTCTGCTTCTCTTTGCTGTGGATGCTCTTTACCTTGACAGCTGGATGAGCATCCGCTTGCCCATTTCTGTTCCTTACATCTGTAACTCTTCTTTTATATCAGTGACCGACTTACTTGCACCTGCTTGGCTTTTTATCATCATCTGTCACTATCATTCAGCTCTGTAACCTGTATGTGATACTGGTGTCTTGTTTTAATTTTTCTTAAATAAGGCAGTATACAAAAATAATACAGATATTCTTGACATAATACTAAGAACAATTTTGGATGGTTTAATGGATGTTTCTATGTGATCCTTGGCTATAGTTGATCTGAATCCATCATAATCAGCCTGTACTTGTACTAGTATTCGGTAGATTGGGCAAGAATATAAAAAAAAAGTCTGAAAAGAAACAAGACTTGTATTTGATTTTCTGTGATCTTAGATTATCCCCTTGCTCAAGTTCTATGGAAGTATGCTAGAGTAGTATGTAAGGAAGATGAAATAAAACTAGTCAAATTATGAAGAAAAAGACCCTGGGCAGAGGGAGACAATAGGGCACAAAAGGAACTGCCTTGTATATAACACCGATTTCTATCCCAATGAGTATTTGCATTTGGTATTAATTTAATGGAGACAGAAACTGAAGTCCAGAGAATTCCTTCCAGCTGCATCACTGCCAATAAGTTACATCAGTGTTTTGTAGCCACTGATTTCACAAATTATTGTGCTGTCTCCTTTTGGAAATCACTGTGATGTTTTCAGGTCACCTCAGAAGCCCCTCACTGCCCCGCCTCTCTTTTTGTTGATATGGATCATGATGATGGATTTGTACAGATCCACCTGCCTTTCCACACCCGTTAGCCTTCTGGCTAAGAACGGTGTCAGATATGGGCTACAGTAGGGATGGAGGGCAGAGCTTTAGTTGGCGGACCTGAGATTGCCCTGACAGTGTACACAGGAAGTGGTTGCCAGGCAATTGCTAAAGGCTAAGGCGTGCAGGGCAGCTGTCTCTAGGAACATGCCAGCTCTTGTGCTGTCGTTGATGCTTGTCTGCTTCAGTGTCTAATCCATAAGAGAAAAAAATCCAGGCTGCTTGGCCTTCCAGGAGACTGATGCTAAGGCAGTCCTTCTTGCTCCAAAGGGGGTTCTGAAGGGTTAGTTCAAATAGAAATACCACTATTGTCAAATATTGCTTTACTTACTATCAAGGCGAAACTATTAATCTCTGAACCAGACCAGGGTTTAATCTTCATTCAAGAGTTCACTATGTGTGACTTTCACCAAGTGTGCCTGCCCATGCCTCAGTTATCCCACTTTGAATATATAGTTATATTTTCCATATGGAGTTAACCTGTTTCAGCTTCATTTATCCCATTTTAACATAGAGTTATTGTTAGGGTACCAAAAAGTTCCAGAAGGGTGCTAGTTGCCTACGTTGCCATGGAAGCCTTATCACACTAGAAGGGCATAACAAGAAGTGGTTCTTGATATTGTAAATAACTGAAACCCATAAAAAAAAAACTTAACATGATGTCTACAGCAGTGTTTATATGTGGAATGACTTAGTCTCAAGAAGTTGACTATGAGTTGCTATCATGCTTTTAAAAAATATGAGGCTCAGTAGGAAAAAATGGCTAGTCTGTTACACAGAAAGCAGTCTGTAATAGTTCAGAGATAAGCCAGTGTTGTCTTCTCAGCAAGCAGCAAAGACTGCATCCTGGAGCTCAGAGATCAGATTTTTAAAGGGTCTGCAGCAGAACCTAGTCATTGACTACAGAGAAATAAGTCAGAGAAAGAACAATAAGGAATTTTCGGGTGGTTGAAAATATCTTCGTTGCTTTGTAGAAGTTAGTACTGACTGAAACATTGAAAGTGGAGTACTAGATTGGACAGCAATTTGGACAAAGTTGTTCAAGGATCAGACACAGAGACAGATAACAGTCTTGACTCTTCCGGTTAATCTTTCTTATATTTTTAGGCTCTCGAGATGCTTTGCATAGAACATCTCAGCACTACAAAGGCTCTCTTCTTTCTAAATGTTAGCGGTCTGATCTTTAATTTGTCTACCTGCCAGCCTTTGAGCTCCTTTAAAACTCAAATCTTATTATAGTCTCGAATCCACAGCCACTCCCACAGTCAATTCAACACTGACCCAGTTGAGAGAGCTATCTGAAAAAAAAAAAAAATGACACCACATTGCAACCAGCTGCCTCTTCAAGAGGATCTGTTTCCATTCCTATCAAGGCCAAGGCCTGCATACCCCAGAGTCCTACCTTCCTCACTCACTACTTTCAGCACATTAGTGTTTCGGTGCAGCTAGACACACTGAGCCAAGTATTATTAGGCCCTTCAACATTTATGGTTGGCTGGAATCCTCTTCCTGTAGGTATCTACAAGACTTGATCTCTCCCTTCCCTTTGGACTTTCCTCAGCTGCTACCTCACCTTTGAGTGCCTCAATAAAATCAGGCATGCCTCTTGTGCATGCCCATCAATATAGAAACAGTCTGTCCTCAAACTGATTCTTTTCTGTTCCACTATGAGGCATTTTAATAGCCAGTATTTATATTTATTTAGCTGTTACCTCTGAGATAGAAAATAAATTAATGAAGACAGAGATCTGTGCTTTAGTCACTGGTGAATCCTCAGGACAGAAGAGAAGAAGTGATCGTGAAATTCATATTAATCACACAAGTGTGTGTGTGGCCTAAGTGGACCCACAAGTTGGAATTAGACCTTTCACTCCTCTAGCTAGCTGGCTCATTGTAGGTAAAAACTCCCAATCCACACAAGTTCTGCAATGACTAAGCAGGTGGAAAGACCGACTGGGAACTTTTGCATGCTTTGAATATACAGATTTCTATTTATCATCCTTTTATTTAAATTAGAAGTCTGAAAACCTGTTTTTATTTTTAGTGTGTGAAAAATGCAAAAAAAAAAGTCATCTCTCATCAGTTATAAGCTAGAAGGGATCTTGGCTACAGTAGGATCCCAAAGGTCTGCTGCTATGTGGTGGGTGATGGATTCTGCCAGGCCATGCTGTGGTTTTATCTACCAGCCATCCATAACAGACATGGGTCAGAAAACCTAGGCCAAAGTGAAGTGTCTTAGAGCCAGATTGGCAAAATGAGGACATCTGACTTTGGTTTAACTTTCTACAGGTAACACAGAGTTATGCTTAGGACCTCTTTTCCATGCATGCTTTATGGATGCAATAAATGGTCCTTCCCTGAGGCATTCCAAATGAGTATTATAGACCTTCTCTTGCATTGACCCCAAATCCCAGGCTTTGGAGGCAGAGGTGATATGAGGTTTCAGCTGAGTTTTGCATGAGCTAGTGGGTGAATTTAGGACCTTGGTAGCCCAGTCAACAATTTCACTTTTATCATTCTTTGTGTCGCTCAATGTCTTTGTTGCCATGTCCTTAACTGTCAAAAGCTCTTCATTATATGTATACTTTGTGGTCACAGTTTTTATGCTACGTGAGCTAATTTAGATGGAATCATTACTCCTGCATGTTCTGGTCACTTGAGCTCACTATAGAACTGCAAATGCATGTTTTGGAACAATCTGGAAAGTATGTATTGACACTGAGAAAGAAGGTTTTATGGCTGCTTTCATGGCCCTCCTGGCTCCTCCACACAGCTCAGCCCAGGCCCGGTTATCTCTTGTATCTGCTGCACAATGTCTGCAGCTTCCAAAGCAGGCTGTGCATCCAGATGTGGAAAGCTGGGCTTGAAGAGCTTGTGATCAGCTGAGCACCTATCACGAGCCCAGACTTGCCGAAATTGGGGCGGGGAGGGTGCTCTAAGAAAACATGCTTTAAAAAAAATGTACTTAAAATATAGAAATACTGCATTTTCAGTAAGATACTTTTCCCTCACAAGAACAAATACTCCTGAGTTTTGATTGCCAGCAAGCTTGAAGATTTCTGTTTCCAAGGAAGCTTGGAGCAGTGGGATGTGATTTTACGAAATAAAGTAAAGGTGTACTCCAGGATATAAGATAATCAACGTGCCTTGTATTCAAAGGATCTTCTCAGAATCTGAGTTTCAAGATGTGCATCCTAATAAGATGGTTTTCTCAATGAAATCGTTTCCGAAGATAATGTACTAACTCAAATGTAAAAGAAAATCCACTTGAGCAATAAGGAAGAAATTACTTAATGCTTCAAAAGTTTTGCTTTCTGTTTACTGTTGGTTGTTAGTGTGCACCAGTGTGTGCTCAATAGAGCTGCACTGTAATGGGGCTCGTCATTTGCAGGGAGTCATTGTGTGTCTTGCTCGGTGAATGGGACTCCACGTAGAAAATCCACTGAGAAATTGAACTGTAAATTTTACAGATGATTGTTTAGTTACTGGTAGAGTCTTAGAATAATGATTCCCTGGAGATTTTGTGATGGCTAAACATAAAGTAATATGAACAAGTTATTAATGATGATTTGGTACTAATTATGTGATTTTTTTTCTTCCCCCTCCTCTTCATCCCTCCTCCCCCTTTTTTTACTATTAGGTTGGGACATTTGGAAGTCTCATTGTACAACATGCTGCAAATAAGTCTCTCACCGACTGTTTCAATGGGATTTCGTCTGGTAGCTATGGTGGCTCTCTTGTTTTCCCATGTTGACCATATAACTGCGGAAGCAGAGTCAGAAGCAGGGGGAAATGAAACCACTGAATGTACTGGCTCATATTACTGCAAGAAAGGGGTGATTCTTCCCATTTGGGAACCCCAAGACCCATCTTTTGGGGATAAAATTGCTAGAGCAACTGTGTATTTTGTAGCCATGGTCTACATGTTTCTCGGAGTTTCCATCATTGCCGACCGGTTCATGTCCTCCATAGAAGTCATCACATCTCAAGAAAAAGAAATAACCATAAAGAAGCCCAATGGGGAGACCACCAAGACTACAGTAAGGATCTGGAATGAGACGGTGTCAAACCTGACCTTGATGGCTCTGGGCTCATCTGCTCCTGAGATTCTCCTCTCTGTCATTGAAGTATGTGGCCATAACTTCACTGCAGGGGACCTTGGTCCCAGCACCATCGTGGGAAGCGCTGCCTTTAACATGTTCATCATCATTGCGATTTGTGTTTATGTGGTCCCTGATGGAGAGACAAGGAAGATTAAGCATTTGCGTGTGTTCTTTGTGACAGCAGCCTGGAGCATCTTCGCCTATACCTGGCTTTATATAATTCTGTCTGTCATCTCTCCTGGTGTTGTGGAGGTCTGGGAAGGATTGCTCACTTTCTTTTTTTTTCCCATCTGTGTCGTGTTCGCTTGGGTAGCAGACAGGCGGCTTCTCTTTTATAAGTATGTCTACAAGCGGTATAGGGCTGGCAAGCAGAGGGGAATGATTATTGAACATGAAGGAGACAGGCCAGCTTCCAAAACTGAAATTGAAATGGATGGGAAAGTGGTCAACTCTCATGTTGACAATTTCTTAGATGGTGCTCTGGTTTTGGAAGTCGATGAGAGGGACCAAGATGATGAGGAAGCAAGGCGTGAGATGGCAAGGATTCTGAAGGAACTTAAGCAGAAGCATCCAGATAAAGAAATTGAGCAATTAATAGAATTAGCCAACTATCAAGTCCTAAGTCAGCAGCAAAAAAGCCGAGCATTTTATCGGATTCAAGCTACTCGCCTGATGACTGGAGCTGGCAACATTTTGAAGAGGCATGCCGCTGACCAAGCAAGGAAGGCTGTCAGCATGCATGAAGTCAACATGGGAGCAGTTGAAAATGACCCGGTCAGTAAGATCTTCTTCGAGCAAGGGACATACCAATGTCTAGAGAACTGTGGTACTGTGGCTCTTACCATTATCCGTAGAGGGGGCGACTTGACCAGCACTGTGTTTGTTGATTTCAGAACAGAAGATGGCACAGCCAATGCAGGGTCTGATTATGAATTCACTGAAGGGACTGTGATCTTTAAACCTGGGGAGAGCCAGAAGGAGATCAGAGTTGGCATCATTGATGATGATATCTTTGAAGAGGATGAAAACTTCCTTGTGCATCTAAGCAATGTCAGAGTCTCTTCTGAAGATTCAGAAGATGGCATACTAGAAGCCAATCATATTTCTTCACTTGCTAGTCTTGGGTCCCCCTGCACTGCCACTGTGACCATTTTTGATGATGACCATGCAGGCATCTTTACGTTTGAGGAACCAGTGACTCACGTGAGTGAGAGCATTGGCATCATGGAGGTGAAGGTTTTGAGAACATCCGGAGCTCGAGGAAATGTTATTGTCCCCTATAAAACCATTGAAGGAACAGCCCGAGGTGGAGGGGAGGACTTTGAGGACACGTGTGGAGAACTCGAATTCGAGAACGATGAAATTGTGTAAGTTACGTGTGTGTGTGTGTGTGTGTGTGTGTGTGTGTGTGAATATTTTTATGCATGTGAGCATCCATGATTTTAGCAAATGGAATTCAAGGAACCATAGTTATCAAGTTATATTCCTTTCAAAATAACAGATCTCTCATGGGTGTTTCTTTTCGATATGCACTATACACAAGATCTTAATTTCATTTTTTCACTTTTGCCTTGTATATATTTTGTATAAATTGTAGGGCATGATAAAATGAATTTGTAGCCCAATTTACTAGATTACTTGAGATGAGTTGAAAATTTTTATTCCATTATGAATTGCACAGAGTACTTATGTGTGTATACATAACACATAAATATTGAAAACAACTGTTCAATAAACCACAAGACTTTCTAACTCCATTGCTGTGCACAAATCTGGAAAAGCCTAAAACTGAAACACCTCTGAGATTATCTTGGCTACCAGGCATGACTGAATGTTTCTCTATCATTCATTTGATATTGTGTATCATGAAAATATATGATAATGCATTTACTTGAAGGCTAATGTTGAATCATGACACATGATCAGTCCTGCTTCTTCAATTGGATGCCTATGTATTTATTTATTTATTTATTTATTTATTTATTTACCAGTCTGGTTTTATTTTCTGTGATTATGCAACCCTTTTTACCCTAGTGATAGAAAATAGAGTCAGAAATAAGTTTTCTACCAAGCATTCTCACAGATGAGGAGTGGGACAGAGACAAAGAAATGGCAAATGATTGACTCTTCTCTCTTCCTTATTAGTGCTTAACCCTGTCATGGTGCCTTGCTGTAATACTGAGTAGTTAATTATGAAATGATTGTTCTATCAAGAGCTGCTATTGAGAGAACAAGGTCTCCTGCCTAGTCTTGGAGATAATTTTGTATTCAGCCACCCAGAAGGACAAAAGAGAGGACATGGTAGTATCTGCAGTACATCAAAGGACCTTATCATGAATAACACTGTTGACTGAAGCATTGATAATTTATGAAATTAAGGAAGGAAAAATATGTTCATGTGATAAATTCTAAAACTGGTTAATGTTGGAGCTACCAACAGGTAACATTTTTAAACAGCAAGTGTATGTCCACCAAGAATGACATTCTTCCTGCAGAGTCTGCCAAAAAGAAAAAGCAAAAATATGGGGATGGGTAGAGGGAGTAGGTTTCCCTTGTAGGACTTTCTGGGGTCCATATATTTCTTTGATGTTGTACGATAGAAATGAGTAGTCCTTGAATTCAATTAAATATTGACATTAAAGAAATGAGGGATTATGCTTATCATCCTGTAGTGTATAGAGGTGGGCGATGTTTGTGGTAGTATCTGTTCTATGTTGTTAAGATTCTACCTACTGAGATGTATTTTATCGGTAAATGAATTTTATGGAGATAGAATTTAGTAGCAATGTATATTACACACTAAAGAACAATCTTCTTCCAGGGACTTGCTTTGACTATGATCATGCCCAGATTAGTTCACATCTGTTTTATTTTTCTACTTCCTGTTTTCCCACACTAAGTTTTCTAATAACTTTAGTTATAGACAACTCTTGTAATCCCTGTAAAATTTTAATGAACTCTGAAGGTAGTCCTTAACCAGGTCAAAGCTGAAAAGGGTTTTGTTTGCTTGCTTGGCACAGGATAGTTTCTCATAAGGAGAAAGCAACTTTCTCCATACTTTCTAGAGTTAATCTTGTTCTTTCTACTCTGTTACTAAGGTTTTTTTTCTTTTTTCTTTTCTTTTCTTTTTTTTTTTTTATCAAGTCATAGATAAGCAATCTTCGGTTTGGTGGCATAAGCAGACGAAGGTCTCAAAAGTTCTGAATGGCAGGGATTAGATGGAATAACATTCTGCCAAGCTTCATTGAAAACATTCATTCAATGCAATTATATTAATTTTATTCTTGCTAAAGGAGGACTATGGTCAAACTCCATCTTTACAAATTGATGTTTTCTTTGACATTTTGTAAGACTTGGTGGAACTGGTGAACCTTCATAAGAATTAGCACTTTTATTTCTTTGTGCATGTGTCTGCAAGCATATGCATGTATGTCTGCGGAGGACAGAGGCCAACCATGGGTGTCATTCTTCAGCAGTATTCTATCAGGTTTTCTCAGACAGTCTCTCACTTATCTGTGACTTACTGGCTAAGGTATGCTTAGACCAGCTGGCTGGACAGCAAGCGTGTGCCCAAGGATCCACCCATCTCCACTTCCCCGGGGCTCTGATTAGAGAGTTCTGAGAATCAAATGTAGGTCCTCAGGCCTGAGTGACTCCCCCCACCCCCCTCTCTCTCTCCTTGAGTTTCTAGATCAACCACCAGTGTATAAAATTATTACTGTATTATATTCTCAACAGTGAAATGAGAGATTTTAGAAATGGAAAAGGATTTTTTATAGGTAGAATGAAATTATGGCCCTACATTCCAAGCATTTTAATCTTAAAAAGGTTTTAGCTTGGCTTTAGAATTTCATTGCTACCAGGTATTTGAAGGTGCTGTGTAGGCTTGTTGCCTCTGCATATTTCTTTGTGTTACTAAGATTTATTCTTGAGCTAAGCACCAAGAACTTAAACACAATATAGAAAAAAATTATTAAATATATATAGCTGTGTTGACTTTCCGCAGTTTAGAAAAACTAGTATTTTCTTGTCTTCTTTTTATAATGAATCTCTATGTTCTCCAAAGCTAGGTCCACACATTAGATCCAGAGTAAAGAGATGTTCCCATCATGTAATGAAGTTGCATGTGTGCACTCAGCCTAGGTTGTTGTTAAGAGAACGTTTCTAGCTTACCCAATTACATAGCTAGTTTTGAGAGAGATGGCTTTCTTTGAACCTTACAGTACACAGACGGAGCTGTTGACACAAGGAAGTTTCAGTGAGTACTTTGAATAATGTTTTTTTTTGTTTAACGCTGCACACAAAGCCTGAATTTATTATTCTTTTCAAGGCACGATAAAGAAATTCATAGCTAAGCTTAGATGTAAAGGTTATCTAATTTCAAGGGTACATTAACCATGGTTGAAATTGGGTCCAATCTGATCAGCAGCAGAGACAGAGGCTGTATACTTTTATTGATTGTTTGATTTCTAGAACTAAAGAGATCTTAATCATCATCCATTTCTTTTGCACATTGCTTTTCTGTGAATAAAGGTCTTAAATGTAGCTACAGAGTGTCGTAATATCAGCAGCGGTGTTTTAATTATGTCGAACCACATCTCCATAAATGTAGAACAGATCTGAGAACATAATTCAGGCTGATAATAAGTTGTTATCTTAGCATTCAGTGTTTTTTTTTTATTAGAAGTGCATCAACTTTGTGTGTGTGTGTGTGTGTGTGTGTGTGTGTGTGTGTGTGTGTGTGGCTGAGTGTGGATGCACATGCCAGTGTGAACATATGCTTGTGGAGGCCAGATGTTAATGTTAGTCTTCCTCAGCCTTTCTTCGCTCTAGTCTTTTTGAGACAGATTCTCACTGAACCTGGAACTCACCAACCGGCCAGTCTGATATAATGTGAGTTCCAAGGATTTTCCCGGCTGTGCACTGCCAGTCCATATGTTTGTGTTTGTGTGTGTGCGTGCGTGCGTGCGTGCGTGTGTGTGTGTGTGTGCTAGGAATTCAATCTTAAGTTTTTATGCTGGTGTGGCAGACATTTTGCCAGCTGAGCCCTCTTCTCAACTCTAAGTATCAGCATTTTTATTTATAGTCAAGACACTAAGGCCTCCTAATTCTGTCTTGTTTTGAAGTGTTGAAGATATTTAAATATTTAAGAGAAAAATGTCTGCACCTATTCATTCATATTCTAACATAAATGACTTGAATTATTTCATATTGACCTTTTCTAAGATCATATGTACAGTTGTGTATAAGTGCTGATAAGTAATAATTTTTGTTATAATATCTAATAAAATGTATTATCAAGAAAATTCTTTAAACTAAAGTGTAAAACTCCATTCAAGGGATGTAATTAAAAGCACATGCTTTTGTACAAGATCAGTCAATGACAAAATGCAAGCCCATGCCAAACAGTCTTAACTTTCAGTAGGGAATTCTGTCTAATGTTAATAGCTAATGAAAAAAGTAAATTAAGAACTCACTGATGTGATTTGTGGTTGGTAGATGATACCCACACATGTGAAGCCCGGCTGATGGTTAGTCTCTAATGATGCTAGTGTAGTGGAAATAATTATAACAAAATACAATCTGGTCTTTCAAGATCTATTATTAGCTTAACTGTTCTGGGAAATGTTAAGGTTAATTAATTAATGTAGATGCAAATCAAATTTAATTACTTAGTGGTGGCCCAATAATATTACCATTTTGGAAGATAATTTGAGAGATTGTGATTGTTTATTGTTATATATATAAAATGCTGAGCTGAGAAAGCACAAAAGAAGTAGGCATATTTGCATAGCATATAGCTTGGCAAGTTATTTTACAGACACTTCTGTACTGTAATATAGTGCAATAAATGATGAGTTTATCCAGTTTAATTTGGACAATTATTAAATTTTTAGGTATTGTGTATAGCTTTATTAATTCTAAGAAATATTCAAGCCATTTTAACAAGTACAGAACTCCAAAATCAGTCTTTACATAATTTTTGAACAAGGATTAGAAAATAAGGAAACATTAATATTGTATAAGTTGCATATTATCATTACTGTTAGTATTTCTTCTACTTCTACTACTCTTGTATGTCAGGAAAGATAAATACTTTACTTTTAGCCACTTACATTGCCAGAATTCATATCGTGCTGTGTGAGATTCCATAGGATAGAAATCTAGATACAAGCTGAATCAGTTATGGGACCGAAAACAAGAAGTAATATGATAAGTTGTCTAAAGCAAAGGTGTCAAGAAAATCTGACATGATCCAAACAGACCAATGAGTGTCTGCCAGAAAATTGAAAATGATGAACAAATTACTACGACAGATACCATCACACAGAAAGAGCAATCAGCAGCCACTGCTTAAAATCTCACT